GGGTTTACGCCATTCTCCTGCCTCAGCCTCCCGAGCAGCTGGGACTACAGGCTTGAGCCACCGCGCCCGGCCAGTATTTTATAATTTTCACTGATTATTTGAGAGTGTCAGTCTTATCCACAGTGATTCTATTAACTTCTCAATTACTCTCAAAGATTTGAATTGAAGAAAATCACTAGCACTTCACACTGGTAAATTTCAACAAGTTTTCCATGTTTCAGAACAATCATTCATTCATGAATTCATTGAATAAATATTTATTGGGCTCCTAAAATGTGACATACACTGTTTCAGGCAATGGAGATATAGCAGTAAACAAAACAACAACAAAAAATTTAGGCCATTAGTGAATTTTAATTCTAGTAAGGAGATTCCAGACAATAGATAAATAATTTAAATACACACTGGGTCAGATTTTTTATATGAGAAAAGGAAAGAAAGAGTAGAATGTGATTCTATTGAATAATAACAGCAGTATCTTATTTTTAAATAGGGTGGTCTGGGAGGGCTTTGTTGACAGTACTTTAAAGAAAAGGCCTGAAGGTGATAAGCAAATGAGCATTGCAGATATTTGTGGAGGAGAGTTCTGGTCAAACGAACAGAGACAAGGCTACTGAGATATTGTCATGGAGCTCTAAAGGCACCAAATTTCTTAGGAAAGTTATATTTACATGTGACCAAGGTATTTGTCTGGTGGCCTTTCACAAAACAGATCCTTATTTCCTAGGATGTCAAGCCAATCTTACCTAGCTTCTTTTGGTCCTATCTGGTTATCACTTCTTAGGAAAACCTTCCCTAACCACAAAGATTGTACTGCATCCTTCTCTAGGCATGCCCTTCATGTTGAATGCACCTTCACACAAAAGTGCTTATTTAAACATCTACAATTACCTGTTTAATGGGCAACCCACTTGAATGTAAACTTCATGAGGGCAGGATCTGTTTCGTTCATGCCTGCATTCCTGTCTCCTTGGCACTAAATAGAACCAAATAAATTACCAAAGTACTACTTGTGCAGATATGGTGCACATACAGGAAGTTTAACGGACTTCCTTAATGATGAAGGGGTCATATTTTGTATCCTCTTTGTACTAGACATAACCCTTTTTGACTGATCCTTGCTAACAAAAGGGAGAGCTAAGTTCATTTGAAAGGAAATGAAGATTTAATGAATGAACAAGGTGCAAGAGACTTTCTGAAGCTCTAAGTCACTCCCATAAATACTCAAGAGAAAATATAATCAACCTGAATATCAACATCAGCATTATCATCAACAAAAGCACCAGATATACAAGTCTGTCCAGGAATATAACAAAAACTACTAAATTCCTATTATTTATTAGGCATTGCTCTAGATGTTTCGGACACATTAGTGACCAAAACAAAGAAAAATTCTTCCTGTTATGAAATGAAGTTTACATTCTCAGTTAGGAGAAAATATACCATAACCATAGGAAATAAGTAAATTATACAATATTTTGAGGATGGTTAGTGCTAGGGGAAAAAAACAGAAACCCAGTAAGGGAAATTAAGAGTATATTTTCAAATAGGGTGAACGGGTAGACCTTGTTTTGCAGGTGATATTTGACACATGTTGAGAAAAAATTTTACTCTGAGAATGACAGAAGTCAACTTTGTGAGGGCAGTAAATTATTATAGAAAAGATTAGATCACATATCTGAATGCAGAGGGAAACAAGGCTTGAATGAGTCAAGCACATTAGTAAGAGGAGGAGAGAGAGGACGTCTGTCTTGGACTTAAAATTTAGGATTTAACTTTACAAGAGCATTAAACTACAGTTGCAACAAAATCAAAGAAAAATAATATTTTAGATTGTTTGCTAAGAGAAGACATTAAAACACATTTTCAGTAAAAACTTCCAGGTATTTTATGATGAGAGAAAAGTCTTACCATTTTTACTGATGTCGAGTTCCTTAAGATTAACTAAACTAGCAATAGTGGTTGGCAGATTTGAAAGGTCATTATCAGGAATACTTAGTTTTCGTAGAGCTTGACAGTTGAACAATTGCTGTAATAGAAAATAATCATTAATTAGATCTCAATTTGATTAAATTCATTCATAAACTCAGTAACAAAATTAAAGTCATGATGTTTATATATGTAGTAGTAAAAGAACCAGTTATAAAAGCCTCATTTTCCTCCATACTCATCTTCTCAATTGCTTCTGAATGGCTTCACATTCTATCCCCATATTAGCGCTTCTATTTTCTGCTATCCAGATTCTTGCCCCTACTTTTACCATTCACATTCAATTTGCCACTGAATCCCCACTGACTGCTTTTGCTTTTAAGTAACTTCTGGAGTTGTCCCTTCTTTTCTATTCTGACAGCTACCAGGATTACCTCAGTTCTGTTTTTCTGTGACCACATTAGATTTCATGAGGTATTATTTTAATTGAATCACATTAAACAGTTGTTTATCTAATATGCAAAAACTGCAATACACTGGAATACCTGAGCTCACATTTCTTTTGTGCTCCCTCCCCCAACTGTTTCATAAATATTTGGTGCATGAGACATTTAACCTCTGATATTTGGTGAAAAAATCACTCGTAATTGCTTCATTTCTGCCATCAGTCCAAAGGATGAGGTGGGAAAGAGCCAAGTGTTAAAGTAATAGCTGTGAAATCCAGCATGCTTATATTCACTGGTTGAGGCAGATGCTTCTTTAAAATGTGAATTCTTGAGCTTTACCCAAATAGGTCCTGGAAGGGGGTCAATAATCTGCATTTTTAACAAGCACATCAGTGATCTGGAAGCTTTGACATAGGTGTTTGCAGTATCATATTTTGAGAAACAATAAATTAGATGGTTTAGCTCTGTCTAATTCATCTTGACTCTTGCCAGATATGAACATCTGGGACAGAATTTTTGATTCATTTCTGGAAGAATTATCTTAATGAGATCTTTTCTGTTTGACATTTCTAATTCTGTTTTGCTGAATTTCCACAGATGAAGTCTGGTATCCATGGCTATGAAATTGGCCTACAGTACATTTAACTACCATTTGTTCTTACATGTAATTTGTTATTTATAGGCAAAAACAATGTAGCACATGGTTGTTATGTCTTAACTCATTAGCCTTTAAAAAATAAATTGGGCTGGTTGTTACTTAATATGAAATAATGCAGTTTCTTACTTTGGGTCATGTTTGGTGCCTTACAAAGATTATTTGTAACACTTCATGTAGTGTAGAATTAATTGTCAATATCTCAGACATAAATGTTGCTATTTCTTTTTATGAAACCCCAAAAAGAGAACTTGGATGCATACTTTGATGGATAGTTTCCACTATTAATTTTCCTTCTAAATAAATAGGAAAACAGATGCCTACACTCTTGGTAAAAGTTAATTTATACTTATTCCAGTCTCTATAATCCTGTTACGACTATTACATCTATATCTGCATGCAGTGTGGTCAGTTATAGATTCGTAGATTTAAAAAAATCAATTGTCTTATGACTGATTTTGGTAAGATTTACTAACAACTCTCTAGTCCGATCACTATTATACAACCATTTCAAGCCATGTTCAGAATAATGATTTTCAAAACACAATTTGTTTGTTTTATAAATTTGTCTTATCATCCCAACTAAATTCTGAAATGAGCTCAAGAATTAATAGTCCCACTATTAATAGTCCCAGTATTCTTTTTCAACTTTAAATGAAGTCACATGAGAAAGAAAAGACACAGAAACTTCTGAACAGCCTGTAACAAAAAGAATCTAAGATCTCCTTGGTGTAGAAGCTGAGAATATGGTATGTGGAATCAGACTGACGTGTGTTCAATCTCCACCCATCTATTTACTAGCTGTGCAATCTTGGGCAAGTTACATAATTTCTTTGAACTCATCAGTTTCCTTGCCTCTAAAATGAGAACAATACGTTACCTAACTTGAAGAGTTACTGAGAGAATTATATGAGTTAATAGATTCATCAGTTCTAAGTCACACATATTTTCACATATTAACAGCTTTGATATTTGGAATGCACCCTGCAGTCAGGAGTAAGTTATGATTTTTAAGGAGTATTTTTTCTTCCTTAATGGTACTATAATATTGATGTGTCTTATAATCAATGGCCTTGAATTTGATGAAATAAGGTACTTGTGAAAATGTAAGACTGTGTTTGTCACAGAGTAAAGCTTGATAACTGTAAGCTATTATTAATATTTATGTACCAGATACAGAGGCACACCTATATAGTAATCTATTTTTTACTTTTCTAGATGATGGAGGCAGGAGTCATGCCTGATCTATCTTAGTATCAACCAGTTTCTTCCTTCTATACACCAAAATGGCTGGTACAGTGTCCTGTACATAGTATATACTGAGGAAATATTTTTGAAATTCTGCATAGATAATTAAAAGGGAAATAAAGAGAATGCTAAATTCCAGATGAGAGTGGTAGTTCACTGGATTGGGAACTTCAGATAGGTAAATAGTCTCAGTGGAATCCAGGTTGCAAATATAAAACAGTGAACTTCTTAATATAACTATGAAGAATACAAATTGGCAAATAAATTAAAAAGGCATTTTAACAGCTGTTTCAAGATTCAAAAGCTTTGAATAAAATGAGGAATGATTACAAAATACTTGTAATTCTTCAGTACAGTAGAATACGGCAAATATAATTGATAGCTATTATAATTAGAGTAAAACTGTTAGTGGTCATGGTAAACTTCTCAATGATTCTCAAAGACTTGAATTGAATTGAAGGCATGGTTATCCTGTCTTCATTTGCTAATGGTATTTTACATTTCAAAAACAATAAAATTGTTTCAAGTCTTAAAATATTTGTGTACTCAAGTGTTCTTTTTTTCTTGGGCTAAAGGAAGCAATTTAACTCTGAAGAAATTGGTTTGAGAAGAGTATACAATATAAATTACTGACACCAAAGTAAACATTTAGAACTGAAACACAGCAGCTAGATGTCTTCTCTGAGAGTTAACAAAAAGAAAAAAGCCTCAAAAGTTGAAAATAAAAATACATTTGGAGCTAAAAATGTATATTCCAAGATATTTCATTCATTCACTCATTTGTTCATTCATGAAAAACCATTTATTGATACTTGCCACAAGGTAGACACTATGCTAAGTGCAGGGGAAACAACTATACTTGAGCCCAGATTCTTCATATTTTAATATTCAGACATTAATATATTTTCATATTTGGGCACGAATGTACTTTAATATTCAGATGTTTATTTAAGTTTAAATTAATTTAATTGAAATTTATGTTGGGGCAAATATCAGTTGTAATGAAAATGCACAGGTAGGATATCTGTACCAGATTTTATTGTTAATGGTGCTGGAGTTGATTTATGAAAGTATCTTTAGGAAAGGTGTGAAAAAGTGGACCATGAGAGAGCCATCAGAAGTTAGCCAGATGAAGGCTAAAGAGGCAATAATGTCACACTTTTGTTGAAACATCTAAAGATAATCCCAACTCAAAGAATATGTAGCTCAAACTAGTTTCAGATATTTGCTTGATAACATAAGGAGACTTGAATCTTGGAGTGAATGGTATGAGCCTACAACATCTATATGCATCTAAAATATATTTATTGAATATCTATTATATCTATGATTTGTCTTCAACACTAAAGATAAAGGTATGAAAAGATATCAACTTCTGTTTCTCAAGTATGGTAAACTAAATATTTAAAGAGTAATCTTTTGATACAGCAAAACTAAACACCCTCACACTCACCCACTGCTTTATTGTATAAAATGAGCTCTGACTGTAATTTGAGGCAATTATTTGAATTCCAGAATAACAGGAAAAATAACACATAGACTTACATGAGTCTGGATTTAGCTTTTGCTCTGGTGGTGTCTGTTGGTCCCTGATGGGTTAAGCCTGAGTTAAAGATATTGCAAGTGGAAGGATAGAAGACTGCTTGGAGTCTGAACAGAGTGAGAGATTGGCTTAGAGACCACCCCCAGTGAGTGAACTAGGAAAAAACTGGATCTGCAAAGGGATTTAGCAGGGGATACATGTATTTCTCAGCCTTGGCTTTGAGTGAAGTGTGAAAAAGGAAGAAAAGAAGGAAGGGAGGCAGGAAGGAGGAAAAAAGGAAGGAAGGAAGGCAGGAGGGATGGAGGGAGGGGGAAGAAGGAGTAAAGAAAAGAAAAAGAATGAAGAAAGGAAGTGACACAGTTTGGCTGTGTCCTCACCCAAATCTCATCCTGTAGCTCCCATAATTCTCACATGTTGTGGGAGGGACCTAGTGGGAGGTAACCGAATCATGGGGCAAGTCTTTCAAGCCGGCTGCAGAAATTTGCATAAATAATGCGGAGCTGAAAGTTAATCACCAAGGCAATGGGTAAAACGTCTTCAGGGCATGTTGAAGACCTTTGTGGCAGCCTCTCCCATCACAGACCCAGGGCCCTGTGCTGTGTGCAAAAAGGGGCCAACATAGAGGTTGGGCCATGGCTTCAGAGGGTGCAAGCCCCAAGCCTTGGCAGCTTCCACGTGGCGCTGAGCCTGCAAGTACACAAAAGTCCAAAATTGGGGTTTGTGAACCTCTGAGTAGATTTCAGAAGATGTATGGAAGTGCCTGGGTACCCAGGCAGAAGTTTGCTGCAGGGGCGGGGCCCTCATGGAGAATCTCTGTGAGGGCAGTGCAGAAGGGAAATGTGAGGTTGGAGCTCCCACACAGAGTCCCTCCTTGGGTACCCCCTAGTGGAGCTGTGAGAAGAGGGCCACCTTCCCCTAGAACCCAGAATGGTAGATCCACTGACAGCTTGCACATTGTGCCTGGAAAAGCTGCAGACACTCAATGACAGCCCATGAAAGCAGCCAGGAGGGGAGCTGTACCCCGCGAGGCCACAAGTACAGAGCTGCCCAAGGCTGTGGGAGCCCACCTCTCAAATCAGTGTGACCTGGATGTGAGACATGGAGTCAAAGGAGATCATTTTGGAGCTTTAAGATTTTGGACTTGCATGGGGCTTGTGGCCCCTTTGTTTTGGCCCATTTCTTCTATTTGGAATGGCTCTCTTTACCCA